TGACCCGTCTTCCTAATGCTCGACTAATCTGGCTCGAGGATGTAGTGCCTAAGGGGTGGTCGTACTTAGAGTACAACAATAATCAGGCCAAATCCCAAGTTTGAAGGTAAAAAGTTGAGGGCACCAAAATGAGGGTTTTGGTGTGCACAGAATCCTGACTTGCTGTCACAGGCAGCAGTGGCCACTGCCAAAGTCAAAGCTAGTGTTTGTTGCGTCAAGCTAGGGCTCAGAGAGTCTGTCTGTAAGTGGTGGCAGCTGCTATAGCATGATTGTGAAACATATTAAGGTGGTGTGCGATAGGGGTGTTGCACTGACCTAGAGGGTGTCGCGCATAGAGGCCCATACTGTTTTGGTAGAGGGATGGTGTGTTTAAGTGGCCCTGAGGCATCCGCGACTATCGCAACACGCATGGAAATTGGTCAGTGTTCTTCTGGTCAGCGAGTTGGGAACAGCTGTCTGTGATGTCGTCTGAAGTTGAACCAGCAGACATTCAACAGATACGTCGGAGAGCATTTTTGGCTGTCCGCCACACAAACAAGTGTGGAATACAACTGTTAATTTGTTAGAGGAAAGGTCCCTTAATACACAGGAAATGGTATGATAATGATTACATCTGACAGGTATGTTCGAACATGATAAGCACGGCTCGGCCTCTCAATACCTGCGCTAATTAAAAGCGATGTGTGTGCGACGTTCTTTTAATCCCGAAAAGGATTTGGAATAAACAATTAAGCAGTGCGCACTTTACCGTGTCACTGTTCACCAAAACCGACTTATTTAGGGATATGCTTTCCCATGCATATAAAGTGCATAGTTGTTAACGGTAATGTGTAGAATTTGGCACTCAGATTTTCTCGTGGACCTTCAGCATAAACTTTTGAGCTAACGAATTTTGAGCTGACGCGAAATTTGGCGATTTCATCATTTTCAGGTTTCTCAACAAAACAGGCATTCAGGAATACAAAATTGTACGACCAATATCTATTTCGCATTTTCGTTTATTTATTATTATATCAGTTTTTACGTTAATGTGTCGGGATTGCTTTGAGATTGATATTATTGATATTGATTGATATTGTTGTCTGTGGCATTTGTTATCTAACAGATCAAGTAATAGAAACGGTAGTGAAAGGATCGCGTTGTCACATAAACACCTCGGCAGGTAACTTGATAATCAGGGTCAGTACCAAAGAATCCATGGCAACAGTAGTTTAAGTAGTGCACCGCATATACCCCTAAACTGAATATTTTGTCCAACGGAAACGGTGGTTATAGGGGTTATATGGATGGGTAAATAGGATAGACAGTGGCATATACTTTATTAACTGCCATTTGCATTTTTATTTTAATTTATTTAGAAATGTTGTTGAGCCATATATGCAGATTTTCCTACTATGTATTATCGTTTAATATATTGCGAAAAAACCTGATTATCAAAATGACGGATAATCGAAATTCCTGAAAAAAGTATAAATGATGGTTAGGAGGTCGTCTACTTTAACTAACCTGAGGTCCAACTTACCGCTCTGGAGTTAGATTAATATAGCTCGCTGCGCGGAGCGCCGCCCACATCCTCAATTTACAACGTACTCCTGGCGGCCCCGTGAAACAAATTGAACTGCATTTTTCCACTTTCTCCTTACAAATTGCCTTTACTGCCTAGTCTAGTTCCCAACACCCAAAAACCATATAGCCACCGCTTCTGTAGGGTAAAATGCTGGGACTAGGCGTATATGAGGTGCACTGCATAAACAAATATTTGTCGAATCCATAAATCTGACAGGTTACACCTTGCAACCTGAGTACAGAGTAGGTAATTAAAGCATGTGCACCTGTATTCTGCACAAAGCGGATAGTCGTAACTGTCATTGGTTATGCTTCAACTTTCGGCACACATGCAGAGCAACGTTAAGCGAAAACCGGTGCGTGAGGAATGGCAGCATTATTAGTCATCTAGAACGTGCAGGTGTTCATTCTGAGCTTGACTAAAACAAGTACCGGAGGCTACATCATGATAGTCTGTGGCAGGTTACATCGCCGTATGTTCATCCTCGTTCTGATATTACTAGCAGTCCTATTTATAATGGACATTTCTTACTTCCTAAAACAGCCTCCGTTGACCTCTCTCAAATATATAAAAATGAGGTGCTTTTCGACAATAAGACCTGCTCGATGGCTAGAAGTTACTAAAGGGGCACAGGATGAAGCCTACGACCTGAGTTTGCGTTATGATGTCGACCGGTCGCTTCCGGTCACCAGATACACAACAATTCCCTTAAATCTAATCAGCAAGAAGGGTGGACACCGTAATGTCAGCTTTGTGGAAATGGCTGAAATCGACGATGACGACTGGAACTTTCCAATCAATCCGGACGCATTTCGTTTGTATCCACAGGGTCTTTCATTGCCCGACGTCATCCAGAAATACAGGCAGACCGGCTTGGTTCCAGAGGTAAGCGGAATCAATTGAAGAAATAAAGTATTCCAGTCTGAACGAATTCGAGAAAATTAACATGCTCATACTACAGATAACTGTAAACTTGCCTTTATGCTTATATGAAATCATTGTGGGCTCATCCTTAGTTTAGATTATTAAGTCAGACACAGTAGGTACCAGTATAGATCACTACAAATTACAATACATTAAGGAAGTATTTCCTTGAGGAGGTCTGTGATTATGCTTTCAAGTGCCTTCCTAAGCCAAAAAAACATCATATGTCAAAATAAGGAGCATTTACGCTTGCCGTATACTGTTTACCATTATTTTAAAAACCTCGTGTTCGAGATTGTGGGTTCTTTAACATCGTCATCTTAACGTCTTCTATGTTGCACTTTATTCTGTGACACAAGCAACT